ATTTAATTCCTTGCCAAGAGAACTCTCCGATTCCACCTCTAAATTTCCCTGTCAAATCCACTTCTTGGCAAACCGTTTTTGCAAGTTAGTTTTTGCATATTAATCCCCGTTGCTTTCCTTCCCTCCAGCTGAATCAGTGTGATTAGAAAGTGATTTGAGTTTAGCTTCCTCGCCGCAGAAAGTTTCCCTGGCTGATTTTTGTACAGGAAAACCTTTCTTAACGGTTCAGGCTGGGAAAATTCTGCTCCCTTTTCTAGTTTGTCTGTAAATTCATTTGTGCGGAGGGCTGTTTTGATTAATATTACAATCCAAATTTCTTTACGGATCACCCAAAATAATTACTAATCTTGGAGAAGTTTTGTTATCTTATTTACTCAGTGGTTTGTAGCTGTTACCCCCAACCCCCGAAATGAAACAAAAATGCTCTCTTTTTTTTGCAGAAGGAAGGCCCATTGGCTCTTTCATATCATTCTAATTCAGTCGAAGAGACTGTTTTTAAGTCTGGCTAAAATAAAACGATTGAGTCACCTTCGTGTCTCTCCTTCTCTAATCTGAGGGAGTTATTTTAAAAATGCAGCACATTTCTTGGCGTGGATTTTTTTCCCAGATTGAAAACAAATTGTCAGCTCAGATGGATTGTTATTTTTAAGTCCGGGAGCTGTTTATGTTAATTAAAGCAGTTGATTTTTCTAAATTATGTGACAACGCAAACACAAATTGGCCCTTGTGATTTCCACAACCTGTCCTTTCAGTTGAATAGGCTCCTTTGCAACACCTCTTCTTCTCTTTCCTTTTTCTGTTGGGCTCTTGATATCTGGAGGGGCTCCACAGGAGCTGAGGAATTAGCACGCCCAACTCAGTCACACAAGGAGGAGGTTTTCTCCAAGTTATGCCCCACTGCATGTGCTTCCTATATTGTAAAAGATGCATTATTGTTATCAGCTTAGTGGCTAGATTGTCATTAATAGAACACTTTCTCCAAAAGTTGAAATCATAAATTATCACAGGCTCAGGGGGTTCTGCGGCGGGGGGGGCGGTTTGCCAAAAACTCAAGATGGCAGCTAAAGCCATGCAGCACATGTGAAAAAGGGTGGGGCTTCAATTGCAGGTTGTAGCCACCATCTTGACTTTTCTGACCCCACCCACCCCCTGCAACTAATTGCAGGGCAGAGACCGTCTGTTGGGGATTGGAACTTTCTTGGACTCTGTAAGACACCCAGAGTTTTTCTTTGATTGGTATCAGGATTGGACACTTCTTTTCCAGGTTGCCACACTTGGCCCCTGAGAGTTGAGTGAAGCTAAACTGGCTTCGCTGTGATTTACGTTTAAGGACAATGGAATAGAGCTACTGTGAACCCCCTCTTATTTAGTTAATCGTTTCTCCTTTCTCACATTACGGTTTGAAGACCGCTTGGCTCACAGGTCTCAGGCTGCGTGCCTGTGTAATGTAGGTAATAATTAATAAACAAGCGAGCAAGCAAACACATAAATAATATACTAATAATAGGTTGTTTGGTGCTGGAAACCGTTGGATTGTGAGCCCTTCTGCCAGCTGCTTCCTTTTCCCCCTATGTCTGGATTGCATCTAACCCAAAAGATGCTTTCAGACGTGGGATGGCTCGACATCTCCGATTCAGAGCAGAGCAGGCATCCCCTGGGCAAGACGCCAAACTTTAGTTAAGAGACCCTGATGCCAAACAAAGGCAGTGATGCCTGCCTTTGCGCTCAGGAATGCTGCGTTTATTCTCTGGCGTCTGGCCATTCTCTGCCCAGGGGCCGTGGGCAGTGGCTGTGCCATTTGTAGCAGACCTCAGGGGCAGCACCATCCCCAGATGACCTTCAAGGGAGAATCAGGCAGGGAGGGGGAGAGAGTTGTGGAATGGGATTAAGAGATTTGCCCTGGAAGTGTCGGGGTCATTGTGTGGGTAGAATGGGTGGGGGAGCAACTCTCCCTTCCTCTCATCAGGACCATCAGAGTGTCATACATACAGTGAAGGGGCTGTGCGGGAGACTTGCAGAAAGCGTGGTCTTGTCTTACCTCATATTAAAGTCTCAGCTGCAGCCAGCCCTGCCCAGAGTGGGATTTAAGTGTAGTCACCTCGGCCATTCAGGGGGTCCATCACAACAGGGGTCAGCCTCTAGCCGAACATGGGGATCCCTCAGAGGTGATCCAGGGTTCATGGCAAATACCTAGTTACTATTTGTGTGGGAAAAAATCCCAGAGCTATAGGCTGAAGTGGGAAAGCTAAAAAATCCCCTGGAGAAGACGGTGGGAAGCCCTGTTGCTAAGATGACCTCATGGACATGCCCACGAAGACCCCAGCAGTTGAGCTCTTTTCTAGCTTCATGGATTCTGCAACGCAGCCCCAGCTGAACAGCAGGAACTTCCTACAGAGCTGTGATACGATGGGTAATAGGAGGTGGGGCATGGATGTGTCATGATTCGCTAAAAGAGAAACAGGCCACATATTTTTGAAACTGACCAGAAAGGAACAACTGGAATCATTTGTTTTATTGGACCATTGATATCAGCCTGATAGCAGAATCGTCTGTTACCAAAACAAGAGACAGATGGAAGCCAGGCCAGCTCAGGGCCCTCTGAAAAGACACAAGCATTTAGCCTGTTGCATTGCTCAGACAAACCTTAATTTCACTATAAATAGGGCTCACGTTTGCTATACAGTAGTCACCGGAGTTCTTTCCTAATGGTTTCCAAACTTTTAGGAAAAAATCTACTTACTTGCGCTTTCATGACCTTGGAAATCTATTTGGGGCGGGGGGATTGCATTGCCAGCTGAAGAAAGCCTGACATTATACAGCACTCCCTCCTCCAGTTTTTCTCTACTACAGCAACCCCGTGAGGTGGGCTGGGTTGAGAAAGAATGATTGACACATGGCTGAGGATGGATTTGATCTTCCTGGTCCTTGTCTAGCACCCTAACCACTACACTGTGTGGTTTCTGTTAGTCAAAAACAAGATTCCAATTAAAGGAAGGCAGGAAAAACGCAACACACACAGGCTTTTCTTGAAGTTAGAATTTATTAACACCTTTGAGTCAGCGGATTGCTTCCAAGGAATATCATTTTTTATTCCAGCGTGCTGATTCAAGGGGCCCTGCCCACTGAGAGCTAAAATCCCCCACCCCTCCGTCTGTGCTGCATCCTCCCCCCTCCACTCCAGCCACATGGAATCGCCAAGCTGATTTAATGTTCTGCAAAGTCGCCAATTAAAACAACGCATGTTCCCAGTGAAATCTTGGCTTAGGAACCCAGTTGCTTACGAAGTTGATAGCGTATTTTCACATACATACATCCAACCAAACCAAACCAATCCCCCCAAGAGAAATTATTCTAAATTTGGCTGGGAGGCTTTGTGACCTCAGTACAGGGCTGGGATGTACAGTTCTCGCCTCAACTGGAAGAGACTTGGAGACGTCATTCCGAAACGATTCTCTCTGTAATGTGTTTCGGACCGGCTTCCGATGGGACACAGGTTTTGCGGATCCAGGTTGAGCATCGGGAGAGGGAGTACAAAGAGTCAGAAACCCTTTGCAGGGTACAGAATTGCTAGCACCTTGGGGGCCTGGCTTACACATGCACCCTAAGGCAGGTAGGAATATGGTGGTAGAATTTTGTGGATGGATGATCCTATTTGAGATTAAGAGGTTGAAAGTTCTCCCTTTTGTTAGAATAAATAAAGAAGAAAATGAGCTCTTCAAAGAGATGTGGATATTAGAACCTGTCCCCAAACCATTTGGAATGGGGTCATGTTGATGATACTGTCACCACATGGCTGCCAGAGGGTCATGGCCAGTCACAGAGTGACTGGGATCCTCACAGCTCTTGGTTCTCCCTGGATCCCCCCCCCCTCACCTCTCTGGCTTTTGTAATTTTTACTGGGATAGGAGGGCACACATTCAGATCAAATGCTGGATTGCCGCTTTCTCATATTTTTACTTTCTAAGAATGCCTCCAGAGGTAGTATAGGAAGCTGGGAAGCATCTCTGGAAATGGAGATCATGCTTCAGGCAGGCACGCTGCTATAGTATTATTATTATTGGTTGCACAGTCAGCCAGATGTTTCGACTGGATTTGGCATTTTTATCCACCTATTGACTCCTTCTCAAGGACCTGGGATAGGCAGATGTTGTTTGATGGTGTTAAAGGTATTGTCTCAGGATGTAAGCTGTTCCAAGTCAAGATGCCTTTTGCAATTGACTGATGGTGATTTTGTCAGTGCTGATGGTCTTCGAGTGGTGCTCCAGATGTTTTGAATTACACCCAAGGTGCCTATTACTATTGGTACTATCTTTGCTTTCTTTTGCCACAGTCGTTCTACTTCTATTTGCAGGTCTTTATGTTTTGTGACTTTCTTCAGTTCTTTCTCTTGTATTATTATTATTGTTGTTGGTCATCCAGTTATTTAGACTGGATTTGGCATTTTTATCCACCTATTGACTCCTTCTCAAGGACCTGGGATAGGCAGATGTTGTTGTTCGATAGTGTTAAAGGTATTGTCACAGGATGCCTGTTGCAAGTAAAGCTGCCTTTTGCAATTGACTGGTGATATTATTATTATTATTTCAGTTGGATAATGGAACCTGGCAGGGGCCAGTGAGGATATATTCACATTGTAGCCCTAGATAGCTAATTTTATTTTTCAGGATAGAACACCCAAATTGTATATTACTGCTTTTAACTTTTTAAAAAAAGTTTTAGTTTATTTTTATGACTGTTGTACATACTTCTTAATTACATTCTCACTGTTGGAGTGTTTTTATTTTTGTTTGTTAAATTCACTAATTAAGTTAAAAAAAAAAGAAATTTAAAACCAGTTGCATCCTGTTGTGTATATTCTGTGCTAATGTCTTGTGTAAAATCAGAAGTAAATGTGGGATAAATTCCCCTCTTCCTCCAGGCCCTGAGTAATCCATTTTATCCTGGTCTCCCAGGGACTCTGCTTCTGAAGATCTTCTTTTCTTTTTTCACAAACCTTTTAGGGTCGATGCACTCGAGAAAACTGCAAATACCTTCACCCTCCACCACACTTAAAAACACAACTTGAAATCAACGGACGCAACAACCTGATCCAGCAGAAGACAGCCGCTGCCATGTTTGCACAGCAAATGCAGTTCATGGTCCCCGGAGCCCAGCTGCAGCCAATTGTAAGTGGCAGGAATAATTCTCTGGATAAGGTCCAGCTTGGGGATACTTTGGAAAAAAAAAATTGCAGGGTTAGAGGTAAAATAGGGCTGCATTTCCAACAAGATTAGGATGAACCGCGGGTTAACTTCCTCCCACTCTGGTACTGTTGAACTGCATAGATTGCATTCATCAGGGAGTCCTCAACACCAGTTCAAAAAATTGTATTGGTTACTTCGAGGTGGGAAACTGCATTGGAGTGGGCGCTATATCAGCAGAACCCCTGACCTTCCCAAAAGCCCAACGTAAACATTCAGGATTGGCACTTTAGTGAAGAGATCTAAGGTCGTTGTGGTCCATTCACCACCTACCCATCTAGGCTATTTCAGGATAATGGTCCATGTGTTGAAGAAGTGGGAGATAGTCTACAAAAGTTTATGCCATCCTAAATCTGATGGTCCTTTGACTGCCACAAGACCTGGCAGATTTCGCTCCAGTGACACAATGTTCTAACTTTGTAGACTTAGTTGCTAATGTTCTGGACTGTGCCTTGTCCATGCTGACAAGAATACTGTGTGCTTCCAATATGTGGCATCCATAAGAACAGGCAGAGGGATCAAATCCCCCAAAATGTAGTGTTGGATTTATCTTTTCAACCAGCATGGTGCATCAGTCCATCTAAAGACCAGGGAAGGGGCGGATGGTGGAAGGCCTACTGGCAAATGTTGAAAGTTGGCATTAATAACTGATAACAGCCTGTCCTTTGCTTACTCTTCCCCAACAGACAACATTTCCTGTGACTCCTTCGCTTGCAACTAGCCCCACCATGGCGTTCAGTCCCTACTTAAGCCACGTTTCTCCAGGGATGGGCTTGGTGCCTGCAGAGCTCTTACCAAATACACCTGTCCTGGTGTCCGGGAACCCCACGGTTTCAGTACCAGGTGGCTCTGCAGGACAGAAACTAATGAGGACAGATAAATTAGAGGTATTTGCATCATTCTGAATTTCATTGCCTTATTTCGTGAGGGAATAGGTATGAGAATATTTGGTGGAGATTGCTTTCTGTCAGCCTTGCAAGGTAGTCCAGACAAGAAGCACGCCCAGAAGTACTAGCTCTATCTTATTGTAAGGCTACATTAACAGAATCTTCCAAGTCTGAAAGTACATCTCTCCCCCTTGCTTTTACAGCCCAAGACCCTAGGGAGGGTCCCTTCTGAGATGATTGCCATGTCCCCATTCTTACTGTGGGCTCAGCTGCCTCTTATCCGACTGTTGCCCAGCCTGTAACTCTTCCCCCTGTCTCCCAAGGTCATTCCCACAGACCATTACAGTCAGTCAGTCAGTCAGTCAGTCAGTCAGTCAGTCAGTCAGTCTGTCTGTCTGTCT